CAGAAATAGAGAGATAGAGAGATAGAGAGAAATAGCGTGAGAGATAACGAAGAGAGAGAGAGAGAGAGGAATAGAGAGAGAGAGAGAGAACACTATAACAACATGAGAGCGAGACATGCATATATAGCTGTACTACCACAGTCAGTTTCCTTGCCCATAGAAAGCTGTTCCTGAACAACTTCGGGCCCAACAGGGGAGGTTGGTTCCAGAAGGTCCCAGGAAGGCCCAGGACGGCCCCAGATAGCCTCAAAACAGCCCCAGCGGGCCCCAGGATGCCCCACTCGACAGCCCAAAGGGCTTCCAAGATGGCCCCAGGGGGCCCGCTGACGACTTCCGGAATCTCCCCAGGAGGCCATACTTGTAGGTCTTCCTGAAGTCTTGGTACCACTTTCGTATGTTTTCAGCTCCCCTGTCTTCGGAGCGCCCGAGGCGGCCGAAGAGGCCTCCGAGATCGCTCCAAGATGGCCCAGTCGACGCCCAACATGGCCCCAGGACGAGCCCCGTAGCCATTTTGGCACAAGTCTCGCCGTGGGCGCAGCAGCTTGTCGTAGGCCCTTTTCGAGTCGTTGAGCCCTCACTGCAGCCATGGCAGAGACATTCGCATTCAATGCCGACATCCAGCAGCTCATGAGCCTGATCATCAACACCTTCTACTCCAACAAGGAGATCTTCCTGCGCGAGCTCATTTCAAATGCGTCAGATGCCTTGGACAAGATCCGGTACGAGTCCATCACGGATCCTGACAAGATCGAGGCCCAGCCGAATTTTTATATCAAGATCGTACCCGACAAGACCAATTCCACCATCACTATCGAGGATTCGGGCATCGGAATGACCAAGAACGAATTGATCAACAACCTCGGCACCATTGCCAAGTCTGGCACCAAGGCCTTCATGGAGGCAATGGCAGCCGGCGGCGACATCTCCATGATCGGGCAGTTCGGAGTCGGTTTTTATTCCGCGTACCTCGTCTCGGACAAGGTGCGCGTGATCAGCAAGAACAACGACGACGAGCAGTACATCTGGGAATCTGGGGCTGGTGGCTCCTTCACGGTGCAGAAGGACACAGAGATGGTGCATGGGGAGATCAAGCGCGGCACGAAGATCATTTGTTATTTAAAGGAGGACCAGTCCGAATTCCTGGAGGAACGCCGCCTGAAGGATTTGGTCAAGAAGCACTCGGAGTTCATCGGGTTCCCCATCGAGTTGTACGTGGAGAAGTCCAAGGAGAAGGAAGTTACGGATTCCGAGGACGAGGAGGAGAAGAAGGACGAGAAAGAAGGCGATGAGCCGAAGATTGAGGAGGTCGATGAGGAGAAAGAGAAGGAGGAGAAAAAGAAGAAGACTAAGAAGGTCAAGGAGGTATCCCACGAATGGGAGCAGCTTAACAAGAACAAGCCGCTGTGGATGCGCAAGTCCGAAGACGTGACCAACGAGGAGTATGCATCGTTCTACAAGTCACTGTCCAACGACTGGGAGGACCACCTTGCCGTGAAGCACTTCAGCGTTGAGGGCCAGCTGGAGTTTCGCGCGCTGCTCTTCGTGCCGCGCCGGGCACCTTTCGACCTGTTTGAATCCAAGAAGAAGCGCAACAACATCAAGCTGTACGTGCGACGCGTCTTTATCATGGATGACTGCGACGAGCTGATGCCCGAGTGGCTCAATTTTGTGAAGGGCGTGGTTGACTCCGAGGACCTGCCGCTGAATATCTCCCGCGAGACGTTGCAGCAGAACAAGATCTTGCGAGTGATCAAGAAGAACCTCGTCAAGAAGTGCCTCGAGATGTTTGCGGAGATCGCCGAGAAGAAGGATGACTACAAGAAGTTCTACGAGCAGTTCGGCAAGTGCCTCAAGCTTGGCGTGCACGAAGATTCGACCAACCGCACCAAGGTCGCTGAGCTCATGCGCTACCACACCTCGAAGTCTGGAGATGAGATGATCAGCCTGAAGGAGTATGTGGACTGCATGAAGGAGGGGCAAAATGACATTTACTACATCACGGGGGAGAGCATCGCAGCGGTGTCGTCCTCGCCTTTCTTGGAAACGCTGCGCAAGAAGGGTCTTGAGGTTCTATACATGACCGATCCCATCGATGAGTACTCAGTGCAGCAGCTGAAGGAGTTCGACGGCAAGAAGCTCAAGTCGACGACCAAGGAAGGCTTGGACCTCGAGGACGAGGACGAAAAGAAGAAGCTCGAGGAGCTGAAGGCAGAGTTCGAGCCGCTGACCAAGCTGATGAAGGAGGTGCTGGGCGACAAGGTGGAGAAGGTTGTTGTCAGTTCGCGCATGGCGGACTCTCCCTGCGTGTTGACAACCTCGGAATATGGCTGGTCCGCCAACATGGAGCGCATTATGAAGGCGCAGGCCCTCAGGGATAACTCTATGACCTCCTACATGGTGTCCAAGAAAACCATGGAGGTCAACCCCAAGCACTCCATCATGTGTGAGCTCAAAAAGAAGGCGTCTGCTGACAAGTCGGACAAGACAGTCAAGGACTTGATCTGGCTTCTTTTCGACACATCCCTGCTCACCTCTGGCTTCAACCTGGACGAGCCCACTCAGTTCGCAGGGCGCATCCACCGCATGATCAAGCTCGGTCTCAGTATTGACGATGACGACGAGGGCCTGGGGGACGACGAGGACCTGCCCCCTCTCGAGGAAGTCGAGGGCGCCGCAGACGAGGCATCGAAGATGGAGGAGGTTGACTAGGAGCTGTCAGGCTCCTCAGTCATGCCTCTCCCGTGGCAGTCCGCGCGATCAGTTTCTGTTTAGCCGATGGTGCTGTCCGGAGCCTCGGGGCCGCATTTTTGCTCCGACGTTCTATGTACAGTTGTGATATCAGACCAGTGCAGCATAGACCATATACCAGCATAGACGCGCTCTGGCGCGCAGCCATGATAACAAACAAAAGAAACAAATGGACCCAAGACGAGCCCAGGACTGCCCAAACGGGGCCCAAGACGGTCTTAAGACGCCCCAGGAGGGCCCCCAGAGAAGCTCCCGACGGCCCAAGAGGGCCCCAAGACAGGCCAACAGGGCCCCCAGGACAGCTCCAAGATGCCCCCAAGATGCCCGCAGAGGGACCAAGACGTCCCCAGAGGGCCCCGAGACGACCCAGGAGGCCCCAGAGGGCCCAAACGGCCTCACGAGACCCCGAAAAAGGGCCCACTCAGGATCCTGCATAAGTGCGGCGACGGTCAGAATCCACATATATATATATATATATATATATATATAGAGATATATGCATACATACACACATCTATGTGTGTATATAGGTGTACATATATATACACATATAGATTCATGTATACATATATACATATTTGTATCTATGTATATAGATATATAGATGTTCGTGTGCATATATGAGTATACATAATCATGTTTCTCATTATCTCACCACCTCTCACTCTCAGATTCTCTCTTTGGGTATCAGTCTTATGCATTTCCCTCTTTGTTTCGCTCTCTCGCACTCTCCCTTTTTTTGTTTTCTCTCTCTCTCTCTCTCTGTCTTTCTTTCTCGCACTCTCTCTGTGTATATATATAAATGTGTGTATTCATGCATCCACCCCTCTCAGTCGCTTTCTCCCTCGCGATCGTCCTTCTCTTGCGGCCTCTCTGGGGCGCTGCAGCGAGGCTTGAGCTGCTGCATCCGACTGCGAGTGGTGTCGTTCCAGCCGGCTCCGAGCGGTGTCGTCCCAGCGGTGGGAGGCCCGAGCACGGGGAGGCCTTCGAATCTCACCGACCACCAAACCACCCCAACCCAACCCGAGGGCCACGGTTTGCCCTCCGTTTCCAGTGGGGGGGGGGGCCCGGAAGCACCGAACAAACACGTATGAAGCCCGTACCCCCCCCCCCCCTCAACCCGAAATTCGAGTCTTCGGGTTGGGTTGGGGTGGTCTGGTAGGTAGTCCGAATCGGCCGTGAGTGCGTGCTCGAGTCGCTCCCCTCGCGGATCCCGACATGCGTGTCTTCGCCTCGCGCAGCCGTTTCGGCCCAGCCACCCACACGAGGGCCCCCCTCCAGGCCACACGCCTGCCCAGACAACTTCTCTCAGCACCATGCGCGAGGCGATCTGCATCCACATCGGCCAGGCAGGGGTTCAGATCGGAAACGCTTGCTGGGAGCTTTTTTGCCTCGAGCATGGCATCCAACCCGACGGGCAGATGCCCTCCGACAAGACGATCGGGGGCGGGGACGACGCCTTCAACACCTTCTTCTCGGAGACGGGTGCTGGCAAGCACGTTCCGCGTTGTGTGATGGTGGATCTTGAGCCCACCGTGATTGACGAGGTCCGCACCGGCACTTACCGCCAGCTTTTCCACCCCGAGCAGCTGATCTCTGGGAAGGAGGATGCGGCCAACAATTTCGCGCGCGGCCACTACACGATCGGCAAGGAGATCGTCGATCTGGTCCTGGACCGCATTCGGAAACTCGCCGACAACTGCACTGGGCTCCAGGGATTCATGATCTACAATGCCGTCGGCGGAGGGACCGGCTCCGGGCTCGGCTGCCTGATGCTGGAGCGCCTGTCCGTGGACTACGGGAAGAAGACGAAGGTCTCCTTCACCGTGTGGGCGTGCCCGCAGATCGCCACCGCGGTCGTGGAGCCCTACAACACGGTGCTCTGCGTGCACTCCCTGCTGGAGCACACGGACATCACCATCATGTACGACAATGAGGCCAGGGGCGGCGTTAGGGGGGGAATAGGCACAGGGGGGAGTGCATCGACCCCCTCTCGCTCGTTCACCGCCGAGAGGGGCCTGATAGCGCAACCCGCCCAGGAGCGTGCGGTTTCGCTATCAGGAGCCTGACGCCGATCTGGCGGCGATGCATCGCCGGCTTTTTCCCCCCCCCCCCCCCGAGCTTGTCCCCTCTCACATTCGTCCTCGTGAGGCATTGTACGACATTTGCAGGCGGAACCTTGACATCGAGCGCCCCACCTACACGAACTTGAACAGACTCTTAGCCCAGATCATATCCTCGCTAACGGCGTCGTTGCGCTTTGACGGCGCGCTCAACGTGGACATCACGGAGTTCCAGACGAACTTGGTTCCGTACCCGCGCATCCATTTCATGCTCTCGAGCTACGCACCGGTGATCTCCGCAGAGAAGGCTTACCATGAGCAGCTCTCTGTGGCGGAAATCACCATGTCCGTGTTCGAGCCCTCTGCCATGTTTGTCAAGTGCGACCCCCGCCACGGCAAGTACATGGCGTGCTGCATGATCCGGCTGCGCTGCTGCGCGAATCCGCTGCCGTGTGCTAAGGTGGGCGTCGTGGGGGAGGGGGGCGCCCTGCTGGGGGGGTTGGGGGGTTCAAAGGGGGGAGTCGAAAAACGGAAAAACGGAAAAGGGAAGCTCTGTTGGAGGAGTCGAGAAACGGAACGACGCCGTTGGCATGGGCTCGGGTTGTGCACGGACAGGCCCCCTTGGCAGTCCCAGTTGGCCTCAACAGGCCCCCCAGAGGAATCAGTCCAGGGCGGTCGCAGCACCCCGGCGCCGCCTCTGGCGGCGCCCTCCGTGCGCCCCGCGTCCCCGGCTTGAGGTGTTGTTGCGGCCGCCGTGGGCTGCTCGGGGGGGCTGGTGAGGCCAGCCGGGACCACCCTGGGCTGCTGTCTTTTGCGCAGCCCGAAGCCTCACCAGACGTCGTCCAACCAGGAATTCGCGTCAGGCTCGATGCTTCGGGGGCCTTGTTCCTTGTTCCGAGAGGCGGAACTGACAAACCAACGTGGTCTCGACACACTAACCGCTGTAACCGCGGTGTCGGATGTACCGTGGCGACGTGGTGCCCAAGGACGTGAACGCAGCCGTTGCCACGATCAAAACGAAGCGCACCATCCAGTTTGTAGATTGGTGTCCTACCGGCTTCAAGGTCGGCATCAACTACCAGCCGCCCACCGTGGTGCCCGGCGGTGACCTGGCTAAGGTGATGCGGGCGTGCTGCATGATCAGTAACTCCACGGCCATCGCGGAGGTGTTCTCCCGCATCGATCATAAGTTCGACCTCATGTACTCTAAGCGTGCGTTCGTACACTGGTACGTCGGCGAGGGCATGGAGGAGGGCGAGTTTTCTGAGGCTCGCGAGGATCTGGCTGCGCTAGAGAAAGACTACGAGGAGGTCGGCATCGAGACCGCCGAGGGGGAGGGCGAGGAAGAGGGCTACGGCGATGAATTCTGAGCCAATGTCAGTTTCGCTGCAGCCGTGCCAGGCACCCCTGGCGCCCGAATTATCCAGCTGCCTGCGGCAGATGCCGCCACCGTGCCAGCGCAGCGCCTTCTGTGACGGCGCCCAGACGGATGTTATACAGTGGAGACCCATGCCAAGACACACCCTGCTTGCGTCCAGGGTGCCCTGGGTTCCTTGGCTTTTGCGGATTGGAAGGCGTGACGTTCCCACACCAAGGAATCGGTGGACGTCCTGGGGTCTCAGGGCTGGGGTTTCTTGTGGAAGGTTTCTTGTGGACTGGCCTCCACTTTATCCGGCGCCCGGGGGAGGGGGGGAGGGGGCGGGGGATGGGGAGGAGGAGGAGGAGGAGGAGGAGGAGAGGAGGAGGAGGGGAGGAGGGAGGAGGGGGAGGGGGGGAGGGAGGCAGACGATGTATGTGACGCCTCGCATCTCTGTGCCCCGAGGGATCTCCTTTGGCTCGCGTGGACCGTCTTGGGCCCCGGGCCGTCTTGGGGCACCCCTCGGCCGTCGGGGGGGGGGGGGGGGAATCCCGCGGGGCTTGCCTCGGGCCCTCCTCTCCCCCCCCCCTCCTCCCCTCCCCCCCTCCCCCTCCTCTTCCTCCCCCCCTCCTCCGCCCCCCCCCTCCTCCTCCTCCTCCTCCTCTGCTCCTCCTGCTCCTCCTCCTCCTCCTCTCCCTCCTCCCCCTCCTCCTCCTCCTCCTCCTCCTCCTCCTCCTCCTCCTCCTCCTCCTCCTCCGCCCCCCCGTGTGCCGCCTGGGGCTGTATTGGGACACTTTTTCTCTTGGGCCCCTTGGTGGGACCTCTTGGCATCCTTCCGTCTGCTCGAAAGCCGTCTTGCGCGGAGCGCATTTCCAGTGGTGGAGACCTCCAAAACAATGCTCCGCGCCCATGGCAGCTTCCCCACGCCAGCCGCGGGATCCCCGCGGTTCCCCCGCGCAGAAAACACGGGCGCAATTCTTAAACTTAGCCTGGGGAAGCGCAACCTGATCGCGCGGGTGGTCGTGCCGCCACCTGAAACTTGAGTGAAACGTGCGTGCCTTGTTTTCTTTGTTGCTACGATCGCAGCAAATCAGCCTCGTGTCCTGTTCCGAGGTATGCACGGTCATGTTTGGCTTGGGGTATGTGCCAGGAGCACATGCACAGCATCTGCCGGGCACGTGCGGCCGTGTTTCCTGTTTCGCACTTTCGCACGGCCACGATCCCTTGTAAAACATGCTCCACGGGGCACATGTCCGTGCACCCACTTATGATGTTCCACCCTTCTGTAACCTGACAAACCAAACATAATTTCCAGCACCACGAAAGTACCGAAACTGAAGGGTTTTCACGTGGGAGGCGATACTCGTTCGACACCGTTTCGATACTTTTCGGGGTGCTCGATTTTTTTTTGGAATTTGGTCCTTCACTACGATGGGAACAACATAAGCTCTTACGTCTGTCACACGGCCACAATATTTTTGTAAACACACCCACTACGGTGCACATGGCCATGCTCTCGCCCTTGTCACGCCCAGGAATCGCCAGGGAAACCCAGGAATGCACATTATCACCAGTCGACCTCTCTTACTCTTCGACCCGTCTCTTCACCGTTGCTGGTCTTGGGGCGCGTTGCTGGGGCAATTGCGTAGCCTTGGCTCCCCTGACGGCCTATGGGTCTTCTCTGTGGTGCCTCGGAAGCCGACGGTCGCCTCTGGGACACCTCTTAGGGGCCTCCTTTGGGGGCTGCTGGGCGACTCTGGAGGCAGTGCTGGGCCATCTTGGCGGCCTTGGTGGCCTTCCCATGCCGTCTTGGAAGCCCTTGGGGGGCTTGGGAGAGCCCCGGGGAGGTGCCGGGCCGCCCAGAGTGTGTGTTCGGGAGGGGAGGGCGATGCGCGATCTCGGCGGGGCTTCCTCAGAGACCTGCATGATGCTGCCCCACGCACCACCTCGCACTCGACGACCTCATCGTGCCACGGGGCACGAAGGTGGATCTAACACGCGAATCGTCTAGCGTCCATCCCACTCAGAGCGATCGTGCTGCAGTATTGCTTCACCCATGGCGACGAGTCCAGTTGAGAATTCGATGCATCGTGGCCATGTGTCTGGGAACCCACTTGTTTAGTGGGTCGCAGTTGGATGAATTCGTCACAGCATCGCAGAGTTAACATGAAACATTGGCCACCGTCTCATATGTCATATCTTCTGATGCGAGGTGCACGGTGTTAACAATGCTCAGGCATGAAGCTCGTGTCAGGTCAGGCCGCCAGCGTGGTTCCTGCAGGTTGTCCTCTCAATTCCAAGGTCTGTCGCTGCTTCTTGGCAGCCTGAGGAGTGTCGACGGCGACGGCGCCGGTGGTGACGAGGGTTCCGTTCCATGTCGGTCTGCGGGACTTCCCAGCCACAGCCAGGCTGCGGCGGTTGTTGCTCTTGCTTCTGCTCGTTCTCCTCACCCTCTTGCTCTCTGCAGCCACCTGCGAGCCCTACCCCTGCGGGTTCAGTCGGCGCTGGCGTACTGGACCCACCGTGGTGGATCACTTGCCCACAGACGTCCTTTAGATCCGGATCCCCCGCAGGTGTTCCCAAACATCTGGCCTATCTGACCTCAAGGGGTAGGCTTCAGAGCTGATGTCTAACCTCTCTCCTCCTCCTCCTTCTCCTCCTCCTCCTCCTTCGTCTCCCGCTCCTCCCCCTCTCCAGAGCCCACAGAATCCACCGAGACTGCGAAAACATCCGAAGGCTATCGTAAACCCTTCGGAATCCGGAGCGATTGCGGGACGAGTCATGCCGAGAGTTGTGACGCTGAGCGCGTCTTTGGTCCAATGTTCGAGCTTTCGCGGCACGGGGCCGCTCGTCAGGAGCTCGCGGAAAAGGGCTGCCAGCACACGGTGTTATGCTACTGCTTCTCAGGTGCCAGGCTCTCTCGCGATCCTCCGGCAAAATGCATCCGAATATCTTCGGATGCCTTCACCGAATCCCTCCTGAGGCCTCCTACTCATCCGTCTCGCCCTCTGAGGCCGAGGCCACGGGCCTGTCGAGCGGGCATGGCGTTCCTGTCTTCTGCGTGATGCCGCCAAGCCGTGAGGGATGAGGGAAGTGGGAGGAGTAGAAGGACGAAGGAGGAGGAGGAGGAGGAGGAGGAGGAAGTCGGATGATGAGGATGGCTGACTGGGGTACGAGGGTGAGGACGAGGAGGAGGAGGAGGGATGAGGAGGAGGAGGTGGAGAAGGAGGAGGGAGGAGGAAGTAAGGATGAAGAGGAGGAGGAGCAGGAAGAGGACCAGAGCAAACCCAAGACGCATCAACGATGTTGCAATAAACACTTTCAGGCCTCTGCAATAATCTATGTCATTGCGGGAAGTGTTCCTATGGAAGACAACCATTTGATACATTCCAATCGTGCCAACACACAATTCCTGATACCTCTGCGTCGCGAGTCAACATGACCTGGTGCGTCCTGGCAATTTTAATCCGTGCAAGAACATCACTCCTGAGACTTCAATAACCGCGAAGCAACGTGACTGTTGCGTCCTCACCATCGTAGTTCGTGCCAGAAAGCATTGTCTGGGAATTCAACCATCCGAATGCTGGAAACTGTTTGCAACTTTCAAGACGAATGTGCGCGGCGCTAGGGCGAGAGCCGTGTTTTTTTGGTAAAAGCAACCACCGTCCATCCTTCAAGCCGTTGCAGACTTTGAGGACGAATGCAGCCGCCATCCATGCTTCCAGCTATTGCAAGCTTTTGAAACGAATGTGAGCGGCGCTTAAACGAGAGCAACTTGTGAAACAAAAAGGCCCGCCCTGCCGTTTCTAGCATTTTAGGGCTAGTGTGGACGGCACCAGGAAAGAGCTACATGTTGAAAAGGACCCGTACTCATTCCGCGACGCTGTTGCAATCTTTTCAGGCGTCCGAATGTGCGCGGAGCTAATGCGAGAGCCGAGTTTTGAAAACGACCCGCCGTCCACACGGAAAGCTATTGCACATTCTAAGCTTTAGGGCCATACGTAATGGTGACGAAGTTTAAGGCGAAACGCCCGGCCCACCCTGCCGACACGTCCGAGGGTGCGACAGGGAGGAGCTTTGTATACGGTAGAGAAGGAGGAGGGGGAGGACAGAGAGAGAGCAGGAGGGAATGGGAGGTAAGGAGACGGAGAGGCGTTTTTCCCCAATTTGGATTTGCCTTGGGTCTCTTGTTTGGTTGTGAAGATCCTGTGGGTGCTGGGCGCGGTCGCGCTGGAGTTCCCCAGGGTTGCTTTGTCTTGTTTCTTGTTGTGGCATTGACCTGGGTGGCTGGGTCTTGTCTCTTTACTGCATTCCTCGGGCTGCTTGGTCTTGCTTCCTTGCTGCATCCCCCGGGCACCGTGTTGTCTAGTTTCCGAGCAACGCCAATCAGTGCCAATCAGCGCCACGCAACGCCGAGCAACGCCAAGCAGTGACAAACGCTGCTGCGCCTGTGCAAGAGAAAGCTTTCATCCGATCGGGGCCGCGCCGGGTTCTTGGAACTGCTTTGCTCGGGAGCCTTGAGACAGGTGTCAATGCAAACGGGGGTCAGCCAGAGCGCCCGATCTTGCAGGATCCTGCAGGGCCAGGGTCGCACTGACCTGGGTTTGGGTGCAGGACGCTGCAGGATCTCGCAGAATCCTCGGCATTGATCCGGGTTTGGGTGGTCGGGCCCCTGCTGTAGGTGCTTCTGGATCCCGAGGCCCCGATCTGCCTCCCGCGCCCTCCCGCTGCACTCATCGAGCGCTCTTCCCTCCTCCGTCCTCTCGGGGCGGGGGCAAGCGGAGATCCACGCAGCCTCCACGCCCTCCTGCTTCGTGTGCCCGTCCACTCCTCGCCGGCACGCCCGGGAAGGTCTGCATGGTCTGGGCGGCTCCGCCTCCCCGCCTCCCCTCTGCTCCTCCGCGCTGCGCCGCGCCTCGACCTGCCTCCGGCGCGCCCCGCCCTTTGCGCCCGACCGCCGCCTGCACCTGCCGCGGCTCGCGTGCGCACGCGGGCTTCGGCTCAAGGGGGGAA